ACGACGGGTAAGAATGCAGACTCTGGAGTCAGACTGCCTGTTTTTATCCTCTATCCACCACTCATTAGTTATGTGGTCTTGGGCAAGTAATACTTGCCTCAGTTTTAAGTTTCAGTTTTCCCATCTGTAACAATTTCTAGAAGACTTCAAATCCTATTAGATAACCTCTAAGACATTATTCTCCTATTAATATTTTAAGAAATTTTAAATTACTGGGCTTGGAAATTTTTTTGAGAGAGGGTTTGATAATAGTATTTACCTTAAAGGGTTATTGTGGGGAGTAAATGAAATAATGCTTGTCAACCACCTGGCACATTACCTGGGACACAGTAAAGGCTCAATAAGTGTTAGCTGGGATTATTATCATCATTAATTTTATTCACATTGTGATCAAAGGATGTATTAGTGAGACAGTGGATTTAGATAAGACAATACAATTAATGACTGTGGAACAGAGTTCTTTCCTGCCAAGTTAATAAACCAAACGTAGTCAAATTCATACCTTTAACTTTGGTTTAGCACAGAAAGACAATTGAGTTAGCAATTGAAATACACTGTTGTTTCTACCAGGCAGAGTCACACTTTTTAAAAATTATCTATAAAAGAATCCTATAAATATTTATCTGCTTGATTTTGATTTTCTTTTTCTCCAACATAAAACTATTTAAGAGATATGAGTCCTATTGGTTTTTAATCTACACCTTAAAAAACAATTCCAGGGGCTGGCCTGGTGGTGGAGTGGTTAAGTTTGTGTGCTCTGCTTCAGCGGCCCAGGGTTTGCCAGTTTGGATCCCGGGTGCAGACCGACGCACCACTTGTCAAGCCATGCTCTGGTGGCGTCCCATGTAAAGTAGAGGAAGATGGGCATGAATGTTAGCCCAGGGCCAGTCTTCCTCAGCAAAAAGAGGAGGATTGGCAATGGATGTTAGCTCAGTGTAGCGTCCTCACAAAAAACAAAAAAACAAAGAAACAACTCCATAAAACAAAAAGCTAATAAACTTATTTTGCTACAACCTTTTTATCCTCAAAATGCAGAACGGAGAAAACTGTCAACAGAGGATCACTTGCTTATATTTTAACCAAAAAAGTTAAGGTTAGTACTATTCAAATTTTCACAAACTTGCAAAATGAGACCTCAGAATACTGAAACAACATTTAAAAAACTATTTTAAGTGGTTTTACTCATACCAAATTCAAAAAATCAATATTATTTTATTCTGAATCTATAAATAAGTCAAGATATAACTTGAATATTTTTAAAAAATTAGATGAAGAGGGCTAGCTAATTCATTTATTCTCCAGGACTACTCTTGACAGGCTAATTCACTGTCACCAAACCATACAATTTTCTTTCATTTCACCAGGAAAAAAAGGCTTCTTGAAGTTCTCTCTGGCTAATTAATTCAGCTAAAATTATCAATCCCTGTAATCCCATGTGACATTGTATGTGAGATTGCTCAAATTTTCCTCATACTCTTTGGCATTACTCTTTTAAGTTACACAAATAGTATGTTAATATATGCTCACTGGCAGGGAAATGTAATTTTTTACTGAAGAGAGTAAATTATAGTGATGGAGACCATGAGTAATGAAACTGATCAAAATTATTGACACCTACTAATGTTAGGTATTATTCTAGAGTTTTTCACATGTGTTATCTCATCTAATCCTACCTAGGAAGCACGGATGTTAGCCCAGGGCCAATCTTCCTCAGCAAAAAGAGGAGGATTGGCAACAGATGTTAGCTCAGGGCTAATCTTGCTCATCAAAAAAAAAAAAAAGACACTGCTAAGAAAATGAAAAGACAAGTCAAAGACTGGGAGAAAATCTTTGTAAATCATACATCTGATATAGGTCTTGTATCCAGAATATATAAAGTATTCTCAAAACTTAATAATGGGAAAATAAATAACCCAGTAATAAAATGAGCAAAAGATTTTCAGATACTTCCACCAAAGAATATTTACAGATAGAAAAGAAACGTGAGGGCTGGCCCCGTGGCTTAGCGGTTAAGTGTGCGCGCTCTGCTGCTGGCGGCCCGGGTTCGGATCCCGGGTGCGCACCGACACACCTCTTCTCCGGCCATGCTGAGGCCACGTCCCACATACAGCAACTAGAAGGATGTGCAACTATGACATACAACTATCTACTGGGGCTTTGGGGGAAAAAATAAATAAATAAATAAAATTATTAAAAAAAAGAAAAGAAATGTGAGATGTTTAATATCATTAGTTATTATGGAAATGTCAATTAAAACCATAATGTGACGTCGCTACACACCTTTAGAATGTCTAAAACGAAGAAGACCATACCAAGTGTTGGTGAGTATATGGAGGAAGTGTATCTCTCATACACTATTGGTGGGAAGATAAAATGGTACAACCACTTAGAAAACAGTTTGCTATGGGGCTGGCCCGGTGGCATAGTGGTTAAGTTCATGCACTCTGCTTCAGTGGCTTGGGGTTTGTGGATTCGGATCCCAGGCACAGACCTACACACTGCTCATCAAGCCATGCTGTGGTGGCGTCCCATATACAAAATAGAGGAAGATTGGCACAGATGTTAGCTCAGGGGCAATCTTCCTCAACAACAACAACAAAATAGAAAACAGTTTGGCAGTTTCTTAAAAAGTTAAACATACAGAGCCAGCCCTGATAGCCTAGTGGTTAAAGTTTGACACGCTCTGCTTTGGCGGCCGGGGTTTGGTTCCTGGGCGTGGAACACACCACTCATCTGTCAGTTGCCATGCTGTGGCGGCAGCTCACATAGAAGAACTAGAAGGGCCGGCCCCGTGGCTTAGCGGTTAAGTGCGCGCGCTCCGCTGCTGGCGGCCCGGGTTCGGATCCCGGGCGCGCACCGACGCACCGCTTCTCCCGCCATGCTGAGGCCGGGTCCCACATACAGCAACTAGAAGGATGTGCAGCTGTGACATACAACTATCTACTGGGGCTTTGGGGGGAAAATAAATAAATAAATAAAAATAAAAAAAAGAAGAACTAGAAGGACTACAACTAGAATATACAACTGCGTACTGGGGCTTTTGGGAGGGAAAAAAAAAAGAGAGAGGAAGATGGGCAGCAGATGTTAGCTCAGGGCGAATCTTTCTCGTAAAAAGAAAAAAAGTTAAACATACATCTACTATAAGACCCATTATACTTTATTTACCCCACAGAAATAAAAAAGAATATGTCCACACAAAGACTTGTACATGAGTATTCATAGCAGCTTTATTTGTAATAGTCAGTAACTGGAAACAACACAAATGTCCATCAATAGATGAATGGTTAACCAATTGTGGTATATTCATACAATGGAATAATATTCAGTAATAAAAAGGGATCAACCATTGATATATGCAACAACATGGATGAATCTCAAAATAATGATGCTGGGTGAAAGAGGCCAGACAATAGAGTACATACTATATGATTCCATATAGAGAAAATTTAAACTAATCTACAGTGACAGAAAGCATATCTGCCAGGGGATCGGGGTGGGAGAGGCAAGAAGAGGAGGGAGGTAAAGCGTCTGAGAAAACTGTTGGGGGTAATGTATATATTCATTATCTTGATTGTGGTAATGGTGTCATGAGTACATACATATGTCAGAACTTATCAAATTGTACACTTTTTAAAAGTGTAGTTTATCGTACGTCAATTATACCTTAGTAAAGTTGTTCAAATTTTTTAAAGCCATAGATAAATTAAAATTCTAAAAATTATTCAATTAATCCAGAAGTAGGAAAGAAAAGAGTAATAGAGGAACAAAAAAAGAGGGGGCAAACAGGCAACAAATAGTAAAAATGGTAGGCATAAGTCCATTCATATAAATAATTACATTAAATTGTTACCCCCTGAAATTAAAAGACAGATATTATCAGAACTGATTGTTTAAAAAGCCAGCACCAATTATATGCTCTGTCCAAGAGATGTACTTTACATATAAAGACATAGAGACGTTGAAAATAAATGGCTAGAAATTATATACCATGCAAACTAAAGAAAGTTGGTGTGGCTATTTTAATATCAGATGAGTTTAAGACAATGAAGTAAGACGAGGGAAATTTCATACTGATGAAAGGGTCAATTCAAAAAGAAGATATTACAATCATTATGTATATGCACTTAAAAGAGCTTGAAATTACGTGAAACAAAAATGACAAAATTAAAAGAAGAAATAGATAATTCCACATAGTTGAAGACTGATAGAAGAACTAGGACCTCCCCCCCCAAATTAAGTAAAGACATAGGAGATCTAAATAACAGGATAAGCCACCTTGACCTCGTTGATATTTGTAGAATAATACACTCGATAACTGCAGAATACACATTCTTTGCAAGTGCACTTGATATGTTCACCAAACTATTCTGGGCCATAAACTTACAGGGATCTTTTACCACCATGAGCCTTGTACCTTCTATACCCTGTATCTGGAAAAAGGAGCTAACAGTTATCACAATTTATTACTTGCCTGGATTATGTCAGTATTTTTTGAGGGGCAATTAACATGCTGTTTCTGTTTACAAGGATATGTAGCACGGGGGCTGGCCCACTGGCATAGTGGTTAAGTTTGTGCCCTCAACTTCAGCTGCCTGGGGTTCACAGGTTCAGATCCCAGGTGTGGACCTATGCACTGCTTATCAAGCCATGCTGTGGCAGACGTCTCACATATAAAAAAAGTAGAGGAAGGGGCTGGCCTGGCAGCGCAGTAGTTAAGTGCACGCACTCCGCTTCGGTGGCCCAGGGTTTGCAGGTTCAGATCCCGCACGTGCACCGACACACCGCTTGTCAAGCCATGCTGTGGCAGCGTCCCATATAAAGTAGAAGAAGATGGGCATGGGTGTTAGCCCAGGGCCAATCTTCCTCAGCAAAAAGAGGAGGATTGGCAACAGATGTTAGCTCAGGGCTAATCTTCCTCAAAAAAAAAAAAAAAGAATACATAGCATATTAAAAAATTAAGTCATTAAAAATTCTTATTCAAGACTAATATATTTTTTCAGGTGCAAAAATATACAGAGCTTCATAATCACCCCAAGACCACATAGAGCAAACATGAATGATATTTCCCAAAAAGCTGAGGTAAGTCTCAAAAGTTAAAAAAAAAGGTAGGAAACTTGGGATTGACTGTAGAACTGGTGAAAGAGCACTGGTTTGGTGGAAAGGTCATATTCAGAAGTTCATGATAACACAGTGTCAAGATGTAAAACATAAGAAGAGATAAAATTCGGGGCTGGCCTGGTGGTGTAGTCTTTAAGTTCACACACTCTGCTTTGGCAGCCCAGGATTCGCAGGTTCGGATCCCAGGCGCAGACCTACACACTGCTCATCAGGCCATGCTGTGGTGACGTCCCACATAGAAAATAGAGGAAGAGTGGCACAGATGTTAGCTCAGGGCTAATCTTCCTCAGCAAAAAGAGGAAGATTGGCAATGGATGTTAGCTCAGGGCCAATTTTCCTCACCAAAAAAAAAAAAAGAGATAAAATTCACAGGCTAGTCTTGAGCCCAGTATTTTCATTTCATTTCATTGGATTCTAATCTAGGAAACATGAGTATTAAATTTGTGAATGATAGTGAAATGGATGTGATGGCTAGCATCTTGAATAGAAGTTTAATATCCTGATAAGTCTTAGAAGTTATTTTTTTTTTAGTATTAAAAAACAGATTTGGGGCTGGTCTGGTGGCATAATGTTTAAGTTTGTGTGCTTTGCTTCGGTGGCCTGGGGTTCGTAGGTTCGGATCCCGGGCGCAGACCTACGCACCACTTATCAAGCCATGCTGTGGCAGCGTCCCATATAAAGTAGAGGAAGATGGGCAAGGACGTTAGTCCAGGGCCAGTCTTCCTCAGCAAAAGGAGGAGGATTGGCAATAGATGTTAGCTCAGAGCCGGTCTTCCTCAGCAAAAGGAGGAGGATTGGCATGGATGTTAGCTGAGAGCTGTTCCTCCTTAGAAAAAAAACCCAGAAAAACAGATTTGACGTCTACTTTTAGGAGAAAGTGCTAATTCACTCTCAGGTGAGGATCCTTCTTAGCTACTTCTTCCAGCAGCTGCAATATAACTTCTCTTGGCCTTTTTCTGGTTCTTGGCTGTAGTTACTGAGAGTTGTAGTAAGAGGAGCTCAGTTGCTGACACTCCAAAATTATAAACTTTACAAAACCTTAAATGCACAATGACACCATAAGAAGATACTAAGATAAAGGCTGGGTATGCCACAGATTAATTTAAAACGTTCCATTATTACTAGGGGAAAGAATTTGGTGTTCTGAGAGACTGAAGTTTTATTTATTGAAACTTCTTTTAGAGATCAGCTTAATTTTCAAAAAGATGAAAATAATTTGCTTTTCTGGTTTAAGAGTGGAGGAAAATCTTTACTCTAGTCTTTTACCAGATTCCTCCTTCTTTGGGAAGCTCTTTTGCCATTTGGGAATTTTCCTCTTAGAACTCATTCTACTTGGAATGCTACAGCCTTCTTACGCATTTTTAATGTTGGTTTAAAGAAGTTCTAGATGGGCAGTATAGAAGTAGTAACAACATAAATCTGTGCTTGTGCACAAAGACCCTGGTGCACTTCAGCCACAAATGAGAAGTAAAGGACTGGCCTTCAGTTTTGCTCATATTAGATATGGAAACAAGCAAGAATGTTAATATGCGAATTAGGCTTTAAACTTTGAAACCTAAACTTTTGCTTTGTTTTCAACTAATTTGCTTTGTTTTCATCTAATTTATTGAAATTAGTCTTGGTGTCTTTTAAGCAAGTGATGTAAAATCTGAATCTTTAGTAATGGAGTAGGATAATAAAATATAGGTTGTTTTAAGTTAGAATGCAGTATTCAATTTTTATATTTTACTAGCCTTCAGCTTCAGTAAAATGCATCCACAAAATGGGACTTCTTTACTATATATTAATAAAATTTTTACTCTCATATTTTCTGTAATTTCATTTTTCACACTTAGACTTTAGAAAGTATCTAATCAGATTCTGATGGTACAAAGGTTTCAAATTCATTTCTATTTTCTGTTTCAATAAGTATTTCTTATATTGCTTATTCTGATCTATCTTTACCTAATTTCCTCTTATCTTATTTTTTTTTTTAACTTTCTTCTCTTTATTTTCTTCTAACGAAGATTCTGCTTTCTTCATCTAAACCTATCCAAAAAACCTATGTGCCAAAACTTGGCAAGGGTGATGTAAAGGATAAGTTTGAAGCCATGCAGAAAGCCAGGGAAGAAAGAAATCAAAGGAGATCTAGAGAAGAAAAGCAAAGAAGAAAAGAACAATATATTAGAGAGAGAGAATGGAACAGGAGAAAGCAGGAGGTTATTTTATTTTATTTTATTCTTGTGCAAATATTCATTTTCATCTTTTTAATTTACATTTTATTATTCACATTAATCACATATCATATTAACTATAATTAAAATAATTTTCTGTGTTTATAAACTAATTTAAAACTCTGCATATAATATGATTTAGTCTAAATTTTGGACATGTTCATATTAATTCATTTAACCATCTAGATTAAAGAAATGCTTGCTTCTGATGATGAAGAGGTATCTTCTAAAGTAGAAAAGGCCTATGTCCCAAAGCTAACAGGTAAGAAACTTGAGGGGTAAATTGTAAATGAAATTGCAAAAAAGGAAACCTAGCAAAATATCAGACATGTTTCATATATTCTTAGGAACCGTTAAAGGTAAATTTGCTGAAATGGAGAAACAAAGACAAGAGGAACAAAGGAAGAGAACGGAGGAGGAACGAAAACGCAGAATTGAGCAGGATATGTTAGAAAAGAGGAAGATACAACGTGAATTAGCAAAAAGGGCTGAGCAGGTACACACAAAATATTAAGTTGGTATTTGCTTCAGAAACTAATTGTACAGAGTAAAACTAATCAGTATGTTGCCTAATTAAAATATTTTAATATAACACAAACCTATTAAATAGCAACTAACTTGAAAACAAGATTTTAAGCACAAATATTTAACATCAAACGCCTAGAGGGATAAGGGCAGAATGTGCCTATTTTAAGGTTGAATACTGAGATGCCTTGTCTTATATTCCATCTTGTCATTCTGTGCACGTTCCTTACACTGTCCACTTTCCTTATTTCTCCTGACATGTTAGAGGATTTTATAAAGATGTATGGCAATTTCACACATAGACATAAACACAAGCATTTAAAAAAATGCTGATCTTTTAATACCAAGCAGTAAATACTTTATCATCGAACACTAAGGTATAATTAGGATATCTTCCTATTCAAGAATTTGAAATAAATTAAATCATTTTATTTAATAATGGTATTATTAGCTAGCTTGTTAACTTCTTTTAAGTTGGGGACAGTAGTAGGAGAGGGGAGAAATGTGTAATAGTCATTTCCTTCATATAGCCGTTACTGATGCTCATAGCCACAGAGGACATATTAGAAGGGGAGAATATTATTAATATAATTTTATATAGTCTCTTAATGAACTTAGAATTCCCATATATTTTAGCTCAGAGCATGAAAACTAAGAGGCTGGTAAGTATTTTTAAAATACTCAAGAATCTGATCTAATTTCCAGAAAAAGTTAATCTCTCAAAATGATTAGTGATAATAATGACATAGAAACTTGAAGTTCTAATAGTCATGATTACATTTTATTAAGTAAAGAACTGATCAATTCACAAAAATGTCTTTAATATATTGATACTTGTTTACATTATAAATGGTCTATAGACATAAAGTTGAAAACATGACAGAAGACAGTTATATTGTTTATGTGCTTCAATCTGGTCTACATTGTAAGATCAAAAAAAGATGATCAGGGGCTGGCCCAGTGGCGTAGTGGTTAAGTGTGCACGCTCTGCTCTGGCGGCCCGGGGTTCAGATCCCAGGTGTACACTGACGCACCGCTAATCAAGCCATGCTGTGGCGGCGTCCCAAATAAAGTGGAGGAAGGTGGGCCCAGATGTTAGCCCAGGGCCAGTCTTCCTCAGCAAAAAGAGGAGGATTGGCAACAGATGTTAGCTCAGGGCTGATCTTCCTCACACACACAAAAATGATCAATGTATTGAGCTTAATGAATAATAATGGTATTTCTCTCTCAGAGTTATTAATAAGATTATATGAGTTAATAAATACAACGCACTTAGAACAGTACTTGGTACAAAGTAATTGGGCTATAAATACTTAATGTTTCACCTAAATGATAGTACATATAGATAAAACGTCATGAAACCATTTTAGTTTCTCCTTCTCTCATCGGTACTTTAACAAATGTCTTAACATAGTCTTCACAGTATATTGTTTCTTTAAAAAACACTTTAATTGTGAGATTGTTCTTGGCTTGTTTTTTGCCTATTCTTTAAGAACCTTAAATCTATTTGCCATGCTCCTTTCAGTTTCTACTACCTTTCTAAAAAGAAAAGTGACAAAGAAGGCAAAGCGTATGCCGTACTTGCATGTCAAAGAAATTTATTTATCCAGACTTTGCAAATAACCACTTCCAAGGCACAAATAGGCACCTGTATGGTGGCAAATGAGACATATGCCAGATGAATTCTAGAAAAGAATTGGAATTTCCTGTATTGTATTACTTTGTACCTCTTTATCTGAGGAAAGGATAGTATATATTTTACCTCTGCCACCTTCAGTCATCAAAGATCAGTATTCATTTTGCAATGAAATTTCACAAGGGAATACAATTATAATAAATGAGTGTTATAAATATAAAATATATCACTCTATGTAATTATATTAATAATATAAATTATAAATTATACAATAAGGTAATACAGTTATAACAAAATACATAATTAAAATATGTGGTGTTTGGCAGCAGATAATGGGTATGCACATGGGATTAATCTCCTTCTTTTAAGTCTTGTGTTCTTTTTCAAAAAGCACTGATTATTCAGTAGACTTTAAGACCCATTACAACCCTGGGAACTGAATATGTAGGTAGTGGTTTCTCAAAGAAAAACTGTGTGTGTTGAAGAGGTGAGTTTGAATATGATGAAGACATAGGATACTCAGAGAGACGTGGAAACAAAATATAATCATGAAAAAACACCACTTCGTTCATAACCCTAGATACTACATGGCAGGGTGCCATATAATCCTGGTTAATGAAATTTTTGGCCTATTAAATTATTTGAGAATATGTAGGTATTGCAAAATAAACTATTAATAGTAGTTTCATCTTGCAAATATAGAAAATTTAATTTTAAAATTAATTTAATTCAATTAACTACATTTTCTGCTCAAATCTAATAAAATTTAATCTGTCTTTGAATATAAGAAGTAAAGTATGACATAGGTAGTCAAGAAGATTCTTAATGTTTGTTTGAAAAATCCACTTGTACAATTCCATATTCAAGAATGCTGTAGAAGGGATTCCTGATTCAGGAGGGTAGCTGAGTGACCTCCAAGATAATTACCAGTTCTGAGATTCTAGGATCTTATGATGAATTAAAAATGGGTATACTTTATATACTGGATGTTAAAACCAAAGACCAATAAAATTTGGGGGAAAATCTTAATTTGGTATAATCTGGTTATCTTTGAGGATACTCTGATGGGTAAGGTTAACATCTTTCAATTTAGAAAAGAGAAGATATTGGTGGGGGGCGGGGATATTGACAAGAAAAGGAAGAAAAGGAAGTTGATTTGAGAAGTTTTCTTTCCATAAATCAAAAGTAATAGTTGGGAAGCAGCTCTTCAATGGTAGCTTCTGAAAGCCGACACTATAACTGAATATCTCAGTTCTCTGTGAATATACTGACACCATGGCCACTTAGACAAATTCATCTTTTTCCTTGTTTGTTGAAATCCAATGGAAAAAAAATTCTATCTTTTTGTTGTTTCGGTAATAGTTTAAAATGAGCAAAGAAGAAAGCATACACACACACACAAAACCAAACAAAGAAAAACCCCCTCCAAATATAGTTTATTATCTTACCATAAGCTAATAAAAATCTGAGAAAGTTGTACCAGCAAGAAAAAGAAATTTGGGGTTAAGAAATTTAGAATTTCTCGGGGCCGGCCCCGTGGTGCAAGCGGTTAGGTGCCCGTGCTCCGCTGCGGTGGCCCGGGGTTCACCAGTTTGGATCCCAGCAGCGGGCGGGCACCGAGGCACCGCTAATCAAGCCATGCTGTGGTGCGTCCCATATAAAGTGGAGGAAGATGGGCATGGATGTTAGCCCAGGGCCAGTCTTCCTCAGCAAAAAAAGAGGAGCATTGGCAGATGTTAGCACAGGGCTGATCTTCCTCACAAAAAAAAAAAAAAAGAAAGAAATTTACAATTTCTCTTCCCTATATGCTCAATGTCTGGCCTCTCACCCTATCTCCTAGAACCTTTTACTGAGACATTAATGTGATTTGTAGAGGAATTGTTAGCATTCTTTTGAAGGGAAATAATTTTGTAATTATTTTATTATAGATCCACTAAAATTTTTCTTAGTATAATACATCATTCAATAAAACCTTCACCATTTACACAGCAAATCAGTGTAATAATTCTGTAACAAAGCAAATTATTCTGAACAAAACTACTAAAAATAAACTATTAAAATTTTAAGTAGATTATTTTTAATAAATGATTTGTTCAGAATAATTTATTTTTCAAGAAATTTGGTATCTTAATAAAATATATTATTTCTTCCTTGACATAGAATATAGAAAAGTGGGATGATGAGAGAACAGGGACTTAGCCAGCCTAGTTCCTAGTATAAGCCAAGGTACAATGGAATTTCCTTGGACTGTGTGAGGAACAAACTACTTCCAGACTCTTTCATTGGTGTTAAAAATCAAATTAAAGGGCCGGCCCTGGGCCGACCCCGTGGCTTAGCGGTTAAGTGCGCGCGCTCCGCTGCTGGCGGCTCGGGTTCGGATCCCGGGCGCACACCGACGCACCGCTTCTCCCGCCATGCTGAGGCCGCGTCCCACATACAGCAACTAGAAGGATGTGCAACTATGACATACAACTACCTACTGGGGCTTTAGGGGGAAAAAAAAAAAAAGGAGGAGGATTGGCAATAGATGTTAACTCAGAGCCGGTCTTCCTCAGCAAAAAGAGGAGGATTAGCATGGATGTTAGCTCAGGGCTGATCTTCCTCACACACACACACAAAAAATCAAATTAAAACAATAAACAATCTGAATTTTTACTTTCTAACTTTTCCCATTCTCCTATTGCTTATGTTTCCTCTTCCTGAGATCTCAAACGTCGCATTGTTTAAATCACCTATCTTCTCTCATTTCTCAGTTTGTTACGTACATTAATTAGCCTGCCCCTCAAGGTAACATAATGATATTTCTTATGAGTAATGGCCAAAAGTTCCCTCCTTCCGAATGAGGGCCTTTCCTACCTAGAGCTGGTCAAAATATAGAGTAAACAATTATGACTACCAGAATTATCTTCCCTTCTAAACTAGCCATGTGAAAGCCTACACTTTATTATTGTGTCAGTTATATTTTTGCCATGTGTTTATATTGTAAAATATAGTCGTGACGATTATTTGATTACTAATGACAGGTTTTCCTTTTGCTGGGGCAGAGACAGAGAATGATGAAATGTTTCTGTATCTCAGTTTAAATTACTAATTTAATTAATAATTGCTGCTTTTGTAAGCTTACAGCCAGGTCATAAGAGTTTGGTCCATTATTCAAATTCCAGAATTACAAAGGTAGGCTTTATTTTAATTTTTTCTTAATATATTGTTCCCCAGATATTGATGTTTATATCAAAATGCAAAAACTATTATAAGGTTTAATCTCCATTTAAAAGGACATAATTGGCTAATTTGGAGCAATATAAAAATATTTCAAAAATTATAAATTTGAAAATTTACCATAAGTCACAACTAAATTACTTTTCAGTTGTATGTTTAAAAGCAAAAAGCAGAAATCCGATGTAATGTAATGATATTAAATTCTCATTCAATAGATTGAGGACATAAACAATACGGGAACTGAATCAGCACCAGAGGTAAATGGACATTTCCTTTAATGAAACATTCACCTAAAATTATCTGATTCACAAATAATCTTTTAATTAAAAAAATGAGAAAAGTTTTTATTCTTTTTATTATAAATATAGCAACAACAAAAAGGATGAAAATATTTTGCAAAGCAAGATCATACTTTTGCTCTTTCAAACACTATAGCTTAGTGTTTTTAAAGAAAAGTATGTTTTAGCTTTCATGGTTAGAGACACAAATCTCAGTTTCAGATACTCTGCCAAGACTATATAGTTCTTGAACTGTTACTAATAGTTGAGATTGTTGAAAGCTAACGTTTTAAAAGGGCAGTTTTCTTTTCATCATTTGTCTTCTTTCCTCAGAGTTCCTGATGCTTCGTTTCAGTTATTGCACACTATTAGAGAGTGCAGTATCTGTTACCATGAAGGAATGTTCAACAACCACAAAAATTTTAGTTTTCTCTTTTTAACTAACAGAGAAAGTTAAAAATCAATCAATTTGATGGTGTGCCTAAAATTACAGCCACATAAATTGGAAGCAATTTTATATTAGGGACATGTGTTACATATTATAACTTCTCTTTATTTTTGAAAAACATTCAGAGGCAACAATGGATTATGTAATAGAACTAATTAAAAATAAAAACAACCAATTTACGAATATTTTAATAGGCTCAAATGCCAAAGAGTTTTGTCTATAATATGTTTTATAAATCACTTGGAAATACTGTTTTTTTCCCCTCACTAAATATTAATCGTATTAAGTATTTAAAAACTTGCATGGAGAGAAAAATCAAAACTGAATCCATCCACCATCAAATTGATTTAGAGTACACTCACATGCACATCACGTTTTGTGGGATTAGTGCACGGATAGCTAAATTCAGATAATGTAATGCAGTTTTGTCCGAACAGCTGTACTAACACCATCTTCTAGGAAAGAAGATGCTCCTTGAACCTCGTCAGCAATGGATTTCAATAAGATTAACTCATAATGTACAGTGAATTCAGAAAAAGTTATTTAATAGAAATCTGTAAAAAAATATAAATTTTTGTTCTTCATAACATTGATGGCAATGTAATGAAATTCACCAATGATGAAGGTAAAATCCTGTGAAACCTAAATTTTGATTAGGAAGAAATATGCTAATTATCTGTTTTATAAATTAGGAAGGAGATGATTCACTACTGGTAACAGTGGTACCTAGTAAATCACACAAAACATCTGGAAGAATAAAGAATTTTGAGGATCTAGAAAAAGAACGAGAAGAAAAAGAAAGGGTCAGGTATGAAGAGGATAAAAGAATAAGATATGAAGAACAACGACGATCTCTTAAGGAAGCAAAATGTCTTTCATTGGTCATGGTAATTTTTTTTTTTTCTTTTAAGGAGCAAATCGAAGCAAAGTTGGTTAGCAGCATTTCCCTTTATGATTAACAGACAGGTTTTCATAATGTTTTCTTAGGATGATGAACTGGAAAGTGAGGCTAAAAAAGAATCACTTTCTCCTGGAAAATTGAAACTAACTTTTGAAGAATTAGAAAGACAAAGACAGGAAAACCGGAGGAAGCAAGCTGAAGAGGAAGCAAGACAACGGTTAGAAGAAGAGAAGCGCGCTTTTGAAGAAGCAAGGCGGCAAATGGTAAAACCAACATATATAACATTTATATATATAATGATATTATACATAATATATAATGATATAATTTATAATACAATAAATATATTATATAATGATATAATGTATAATATAATTTATATAATATAATATAATAATATATAAATGTTATATGTAAAACATTTAATATTAGGTAAGGTAGCTGGCCTTAGATAAGGTTCATTCCTATAAATTCAAGGAGCTTTTCTGTATAAAAGGGTCTGATTTTGAAACTGTATACATATTCTATGTATAAAGTGCATCTATATTATTTTCTAGTTTCCATTAGACATTTTATCTAATATGCTTTAAATTTTTATTTTTATAAATAGTTGTAAATACTTGGTTTCTCTTCATCTGTTAGTTTAGACTGCAGTGTGTTTAATGGCAGGATACAGCACACTTTCAAAGTCTAATCATAACTGTACATTTCGTTTCTTTTTTTTTTTTGTGAGGAAGATCAGCCCTGAGCTAACATCCGTGCTAATCTTCCTCTTTTTGCTGAGGAAGATCGGCTCTGAGCTAACATCTATTGCCAATCCTCCTCCTTTTTTTTTTTTCCCCAAAGCCCCAGTAGATAGTTGTATGTCATAGTTGCACATCCTTCTAGTTGCTGTATGTGGGACGCGGCCTCAGCACGGCCAGAGAAGCGGTGCGTCGGTGCACACCAGAGATCCGAACCCGGGCCGCCAGTAGTGGAGCGTGGGCACTTAAGCACTAAGCCACAGGGCCGGCCCCTATACACTGTTTCATTCAGTCCAGTTTTTCAAATGTTTGAACATATCAAAATAAGTTTACTATAGAATATGCAGTTTGCCATACAAAGTATGTATGTACGTATGTGTGTGTGTATATATATATATATAGCATAGTGGTTAAGAGCATGGATTTTGGAGCCAGACTGCCTGGATTCAGATATCTACAATTTATTAAGTGTGTAACCATGAACAAGTTATTTAATCTGTGTCTTAGTTTCCTCATTTGTAAATGGTGAAAATAATTGTGCCTACTGCTTAAATTGTTAAATGAGTTAATACAGAAAGCAGTTAAAGTAGTGTCTGGCATATAATAAGTGCTTAAAAAGTGTTAACTATTATTATATTAATAGATTTATCAATAAAAAACAAAATTTAAATAACACCGATTCCAAATCTCATTATAAAAATTTAAAAATGGAACATCTAGGGGCTGGCCTGGTGGCACAGCGGTTAAGTGCGCGCGCTCCGCTTCGGCGGCCCAGGTTCGCAGGTTCAGATCCTGGGCGCGACCTGACACACTGCTTGTCAAGCCATGCTGTGGCAGCGTCCCATATAAAGTAGAGGAAGATGGGCATGGATGTTAGCCCAGGGCCATTCTTCCTCAGCAAAAAAGAGGAGGATTGGCATTGGATGTTAACTCAGGGCTGATCTTCCTCACACACACACAAAAAAGGGAACATCTATAATTTTTTAGAGCTTTCATAATTTCTTGACCAACTTCCATTAACGATATTCTAAAGAGTATATCTCCAAAATTATTTTTCTTTTTTTAGATACCATAATTAAAGTAATATTTGCCTATTTTTGTTTTTTATTGATATCAAAATAGTTTATAACATTGTGAAATTTTAGTTGTACATTAGTGTTTGTCAGTCACCATATAAATGTGTCCCTTCACCCCATTGAGCCACCCCCCAACCCCTTTCCCCTTGGTAGCCACCAAACTGTGATCTCTGTTCGTGTGTTAGTTTATCTTCCACATATGAGTGAAATCATGCGATGTTTGTCTTTCTCTGTCTGGCTTATTTCGCTTAACATAATACCCTCCAGGTCCCTCCATGTTGTTGCAAATGGGACGATTTTGTCTTTTTTATGGCTGAGTAGTATTCCATTGTATATATGTACCACATCTTCTTGATCCAGTCGTCAGTCGAGGGACACTTAGGTTGCTTCCACTTCTTGGCTATAGTGAATAATGCTGCAGTGAACATAGGGGTGCATAAGCCTCTTTGGATTGTTGATTTCAGGTTCGTTGGATAGATTCCCAGTAGTGGGATAGCTGGATCATAGGGGACCTCTGTTTTTAATTCTTTGAGGAATCTCCATATCGTTTTCCATAGATGCTGCACCAGTTTGCATTCCCACCAGCTGTGAATGAGGCTTCCCTTTTCTCCACAACCTCTCCAACATTTGTTATTTTTTGTCTTGGTGTTTATAGCCATTCTAAGGGGTGTAAGGTGATATCTTAGTGTAGTTTTGATTTGCATTTCCCTGATGATTAGTGATGTTGAACATCTTTTCATGTGCCTATTGGCCATCTGTATATCTTCTTTGGAAAAATGTCTGTTCATAT